TGTCTCATCAAAATGTAGTAATTTGTTGTTTGAGTTGTAGAAAAGACACATCATTGTTATATAGATGGGATTTGCACACTGGCTTCCATGCCAGGTTCATATTCACTTGTGCACTGCATAAGGTTTTGGGGCAACATAAATTGCATAAAACTAGAGTCAGTGAGGCAGATGACTATACTTACACTAGTATTATGTGTCCTATCTGTCTTCCTAGTACATCTCATTCATCGATTAATGACTCCCTGATGTGATGCAAAACAAAATAGGGCATGGAGGACTACGATGAAGAGGCCGAGGATGCGTCAGATTCAGAAAGTGAAGACGATACAGCGGGCTATGATGAGGTAATTATTATGTGCCTGTGTACCCTATCATGCCTTCCTAGCACATCTTGTTCATTGATTAATGATGTCCTGATATTTATGCGGAACAAATTAGGGTATGGAGGACTATGATAAAGAGGAAGAGGATGAATCGGATTCAGAAGATGAAGACAACTAGGTGGAATCGCACGCTTCGCCACGCCGGCGATTTTTTGAGATGTTCAGATAGTCTTTTTCTGTTCACAATATGGACTGCATGGTCCCCAACAATAGAGCAATATAGAGTAAATGGTGTGTGGTTTCATCTTCACATATCAGCCTCAGCAATACACAAACGGATCAACTATAACTACCGGTCGCGTAGTCATGTCCTTCTCTGGATCACTATATCAGGAGGCCTGATCTGAAGCCTGTGTAGGTTTAATTTGAAGCAACATTCAGGGAAGAGGGAAGTGCTAGCCTCCATAGGTGGGTGCTAGTCATCAGACGGATCGCTTCTCACTTGTGGACCCTCACGATTAGCCTTTGTAGGATCTGTACAAACATTTGGTATAGCTCGTTATTACAGAACCAGTTATTTGTGGACATGTGTTTTTTTAATTGTACTATACTATAAACATGTTTTTAGTCGCGGATTACATTCACCTTACATGTATCAGAATCAGGAAGAGAACCTGCAAGTCCAGGACCTGAAAGGTGAGGGTTGAGCTCCTAGCCCAGTAAGATGCTGAATGGTGTTATTACAGGTCAAAAAATATATACTGAATGATGTTTTCTTGTGAATTGTTGACAGACAGGGAACAAATGTCATGCAGAAACCAGTAGAGATTTTGGTAAGGGTAAACCTGGTTCGACTGCAAAATTCATACCTTTACCCCGATTTGCATCGTTTGTGTTGCTGCCTAGATCATGGTATGAATAGCCAACCAGTTTTGCGCGGTGAGTTGATCAAATCTAGAGCGGCTCCATAGCCTTGGAATTGTTTGAAGAGAAGAACATGGGCAAGGTAATCTGCGGATTTGTTTCAGTCAATCAATAGAAAGGAATGTGAGCAAGATGACTGAACGTTCTGAATGTTTCAGATTCGACGAAATTGGATGCCTAGGTGAAGAAGCTGGTGGCGAGATACTTTCCTCGCTCAATCGTCACGATAAAAAGTTACGCAATTCTACTTACTAGTAGTACAACTAGAGTTGCTGCAATTCACGATAAAAAGCACCCCTACAGGCTACAGAGACTCAAGGGATATCTGCTCCGTTGTGATGAAAAACAGACAATCGGCTTAGCTTAATTTGTGCGCTGAGAGGGAGCCAGGAACATGCCAACGCATCCACATGACGGCTGCCTCCACTCATCAGTCTCAACGGCGAGCCACTATATATATATACCAAGACCGGCCTCATCCGGAGTTGACCTGTTCCATCAAACCTTTTCTTCATCTTGTTGGCGCTCTATTTTATAATGCGGGCCTCTATTTCCATCTGCTTTCTTCTTCTATGGAGAGTCAACGGTGTTCTTAAACGGATAATCCGTCTTCTGAAATAAACAAACATATGTGTACGAGCTGTCGTCGATAGGCGATTTCGTTATGCTTAACTAACGGGCCAACCATTTCCAATCGGAGTCTTAGCCACGCATTTTATATACTTAGGGCGCCTCTAGCAGATTCCTTATCCTAAAAGTCTAAAACTCTTACTCTATCTCGAGAGGTCAAATTTTTTGAGGGAATATGTCACCGAATGTCCCATTATATAGTGACATTTTTTGTGTGCGCCGTCGTTAGGAGTAATTTGTGATGGGGATTCCGTGACGATGCTTGTGACGCCCATAAAACGTCGATGAGGGGTAATTTGTGACATTGTTAGCTATTCAATGACATTTTTTCGGCTCTTCATAGTAGGCCCGATCTCTTGATTGCTGAGATTAATTTTTATTATCTCAGCATCGTACTGTATTCTACCATTGTTTCATAGTGGGAAGCTCATTGACGATTGGCAAGATATCTCTACACTAGCAGTTTATGCATTTTGGTGACAACACGTTGTGTCCTAAGAGTCAGATTTGCTTCTTTTTTCTTTCACTTTTTTCAGTTGGATCATTACTTGTTCATGTTGTTGATGGAAGTTTTATCCTTAGTTCAAAATTAAGATGTATGCCATCATATGCCATGCTTGTTGTCAGCTCTTGGCTTTATTTATTTTTTGCCTTATTAACCGTTCTTCGCTTATCTATGGCGACCCAACACAAGTGAGGAGACTTGTGATAACATACCCGTACAAAGGAGATGAAGTTTCATGTAAACACCAAAATCAATGTATCACAGAATCCTCACGATTCAATTCTGTTGAAGATGGGCCTAGAACTTTAGATCCAGCAGTGAAGAAGAGAACATCTACACTTGCAAAGAATTTTGTTAAAACAAACCCTAGCTATCTCCAAGCACTTGGTCAGACACATGCTGGCTGGAACCCTAGCTACCGGGGCCAAAGCCCC